GTGCATAAATGGGAGAATAGTTTGAGGAAGTTTCAAGGTTGAATGAAGGCATCTTAAAGATAAAGGAGAAATCTGGGCATATTTGTAGGGAGTGCAGAAGGAATTAGTGAATGAGAAATTGAAGACTAAAGAAATAGAGGAAATGTTTGAGTGGAACAAGCTCTTGAGAGAAGCAGGAATGAGAGATCAAAAGCATGAGGGGAAAGGTTAACCTTAATAAGAAGGCCAACCTCCTCATCAGGTACAGTGGAGAAAAAATGACAAGAAAATGTTTTGAGGTACAGAATAGGATAGAAGAGGAACTCAAGACAGATGCCCTCCATTATCTCAGTACAGTAGTAGACTATGCCTTTTGGGAAAGTAGAGATGAGAAGTGGTATAAGAACTTTGAGAACAAAAAACAAAGTTTGGAATTTTTAAAAAGGATTCCCTTTGAATTGTGAGAACCTAACTGAAATGAAAGCGAATAAATTGTAGCATTGTGTGACTTCCTCCTGCAATGTGACCAAGAATGACTAACAACAGGACAAGGGGCAGAAGGGTTGATGGTCACTGATTCATGGATTTTGACTTGGTTGAGAAAGATGGGCAAAGTGCATCTCAAAAGATCACCAGATCATAAAAGTCAGAGCTGAGAGGGAAATGGAGACAATCAAGTCCAACTCTCATTTTCAGATGAAGAAGCAGGGGCTACTAGGTGGCACAGTGAATACAGCAAAGGGCTTGGAATCAGGAGGACCTAAGTTCAAATCTCGCCTCAGACACTTGACATTACTAGCTGTGTGACCCTGGGTAAGTCACTTAAACCCATTGCCTAGCCAAAAAACAAACAAATGAAGAGGCAGACACAAATAGGTAAGGCGACTTGCTCAGGGTCACACAGCTAGTTCAGTGTCTGAGGTGGAATTTGAGCTAGGTCTTGACTCCAAGGCCAGTATCCTAGTCATTACACCAAGCTATGGTGAGAAGGCTGGAAAACATGCCATCCAAAGATTGGCTAAAGAGTCTGAAATATTTAGCCTGGAGAAAAGAAGGCATAGACAGACCATGCTAGCTATCTTCCAGTCCTTGTTGGGTTGTAGGTTGCTGTTACTATGACCTGGGATTTGAATCCAGCTCTTCCTGACTCCAATGCTAGTGCTCTATTTACTGTACTATGTCACCTGTAGGTGAAGTTGCTAAATGATGGTGGCAAAGAGATAGTTTGGGAGAGAGTCAGGATCAAGCCATGTACCTGTTCTTCCTCCTGACCCAGTGCTTCAGGGCATGTGAGAAAAGTAACAGCCAAGAGCACAGAATGAAAGGTCCAGCATATAGAGAAGTTTGTTAACAACAGAACAGGAGGTTCAGAGGGCACAAGGAAATGAGAGGGCACAGGAAAATGCAGACCATGGAGAGGTAGGGCTGAGGTGAATAAGGATGAGAGGACAGGGGAAACATGGGTAGGGAAATATCACCATTACTGAGACTCTGAGTGAATGAATGAATGAATCAATTAATTAATAAACATAATTGTCTAGTATATGCCAGGCACTGCTCTAAGTGCTGAGGAAACAAAAAGGGGAAAAAGACAATCCTTCTCTGCCCTTAAAGAGCTTACAGCTAACAGATAGAAAGAGGTCAATGGAACAGAAACAACAGAGTGTGACCAGTTGATATGGGTCAGTCATCCTGTAGCACACTTCATTGACTGAGCACAGGATCAGCACAGGATCAGCGCAGGCCCTCACAACCTCTGTCTCCCTAAGACCTACATTCTCTTATGGATCTCTTATAGAACTTGGCAGCAGAGAAACAATGGAAAGAATGCTAGATTTGGAGTTATAGAGGACCTGGGTTCAAATTCCAGCTCTGCCTATCTGCATAACCCTAGGTAAGTCATTTAACCTTTATGAGATGTCAGGTTTCTCATCTGTAAAGTGTGTGGGTGGGGAGAGGAGAGGAAGAAGAAGGCTGGAGTAGAGGACCTCTAAGGTCTTTTCCAGTTTTAAATCTGTGACACTATGACTACAGAAGCTACCATTAAGTGCTCTAAACTATAATGTTCTAATACACACATTTTCCAGTTCTCTTTGTGGAGCTGGATATCATTTTTTAAAAGTTTTTGACAAAATATAATACCTATTCCTTATTAAAAATACTAGAAAGCATAGTAATAAGTGAGCATTTCTTAAAATGATGAGTAATATCTATCTAAAACTAGAAATAAACATAATCTGTAATGGGTATAAACTAGAAGTTTTCCTCATAAGATCAGGGTGAAACCAGGATATCCATTATCACCACTATTATTCGATATTGTAACAGAAATGCTAGCTATAGCAATAAGATAAGAAGGAATTGAAGGAATAAGAAAAGGTAATGAGGAAACAAAGCTATTATTTTTGGCAGATATGATGGTATAGTTAGAGAACCCTAGAGAATCAACTAAAAAATTAGCTGAAACAATGCACAACTTCAGCAAAGTTGTAGAATATGAAATAAACCCATGTAAATCACCTGTATTTTTATCTACTCTCAACAAAACTGAGTAAGAAGAGATACAAAGAGAAATTTCATTGGAAATAATGGCAGCCACCACCTTCTGAGTGAGGTCCCTGATGCCTTGTCCCCTCCCTAAGCAGTTCCTACAACTGCTGAAGCCACTTCCTCCTCATTCATCCTCCTGCACTGTAGGCAGCACTGGTTCCAAGATGTACAACCAAGTGGTCTGCTAGGAAGTCAGTCATGCTGAGTGTGGGCATGAAGCCTCAGGTCCTCGAATAAATGCACAATTAAAAGGCTGGCTTTCACAAGCATAATCCAAAAAAAGACCTGCTAGAGCCATTATTTCCCCCCCATGCATGATATACTTACTGTGGGTCTTATGCTGCTCATGCTTACACACAAGTTGATACTTCTATTGCCTGGAGAATATTCTTCCCTGAGCCTTTCCATCATATGCCTCAATCTTGATGAGCACTTTTCAGTGTAGACATATACAGAACATCTCTGTATGACCTTCATATTGATCAAAAGATTTGTGGAGAGTTATGGAAGACAGGAACATATGTCTCCACAGACAGATGAAGTATTGAAATGCACTAGCTTTATATGCCTAAAGTTACGTAAAGCCATAAAGATGAAGTTACCATTATTCCTGTATTGGTTGAAGCTCTGAATGAGTCAAAAGAACAGGAATTCAGAAAACTCTTCGGTAAATATCTAGTAGAGTCTAGTAATCTCTTTATGGTTTCTTCTAATTTCTGCCATTGGGGTCAAAGGTTCTATTAAAGTTACCATGATAAAACCCAAGAGGAGATATATAGATCCATTGAACATCTAGATAAAATGGGCACAAGTATTATAGGACAACTGCACCCCACATCTTTTAGCAATGACTTGAAGAACTATCATAATACAATATCAGGAAGACATTCCTTTGGGGTGCTACTAAATGCCATCACAGAGCTTCAGAAGAATGGAATGCATATGGGCTTATCATTTTTAAATTATGCTCAGTAAAGACAAACACAAGACAATTCAGTGAATTATGCAGCTGGGGCACTTACCAGTCTACTGGAGCTCTGAATAATCAGGGATACCACCTGCACATACTCATATTCTAAATGGGGTCCCAACCTTAGGCTTTGCAGAGATATAGTTCCTGGTCTTTGGGATACTAAAATCTCAAAATTAGTAGAACTTTGTTCTCTTTTTTTTCCTATCAGGTAGAGTCCTTCCTTACTTTCAACTCAATATAAAATGCTTTCTTGTTTAGGACAACAGAAGGAAGGAAGGCAAACATCAAAATATTTTATAACTTTTAAAAGTGATGATAGATATAAGGTCATGGTAACAGATAGTGCTTTGAATTCCTATAAAGCTTTTGCCATATCTAAATGTGCACTCTTTGCAGACCTTCGAATATACATGCAGTTTTCAGAATAGTTTTGCAAAATGTAAACAAACAAGGATGGAAGTTTTTTAATAATGAAAATAGCATTTACAAATGATATGTATTAGAGATAGCCTTATATCTTTTGTACTATCAGTTAGACAATTATTTGAAATTTATTAATCACTTACTATGTGCCAGGCTCCCACAAAGCAGGCTAAAGAATCTTCTATACAGATCTGCACAGTCAGAGAAAGAGAAGTACAGCAGGACTGGGAAGAAATCCAGTTTATATCAACAACTTACACTATATTCTACAATAAAGTAAAAATGGAAATGAGTAAGGAAAAAAAAACTTGGAAGTCAACTATAGCAGGGACCTTTCACAGCCATGTCTACAGAAAAATTCTTAGCCAAATAAGGGACACAGTGACTATAAATGGTAAAATAAATAATTTGATTGTCTGAAATTGAAATGCTTTTGTGCTTAAAAAATTCAATACAAATAGTATAACAAGAGAAACAATCCATTGGGGGAGAAATCCTTGCTTCAAAGATCTCTGATTTTCCTTGCAATTTGTTGTTGTTCAGTTGTTTCAGTCATGTCTGGCTTTTCTTTACCCCATTTGGTATTTTCTTGGCAAAGTGGTTTGCCATTTCATTCTTCAGCTCATTTTACAGATGAGGAAACTGAGACAAGCAGGGCTAGGAGACTTGCCCAGGGTCACAAAGCTAGTAAGTGTCCCTGGCCAGATTTGAACTCACAAAGATGAGTCTTCCACACTCCAAGTCCGGCTCTCCATATACTGTTCCATATAACTGCCCTGGGACTGCTATACACAGCATTAAAATAAATGGTAGAACATAAGAGGTTTTGATATTTTAACACTGCTTTAATGCCAGCAGTCAGGGACCTAGGTCATCTACCTGAAGAATTTGCACTGGGAAGCCCTGGGACCTCTGTTTATCCTGAAAAGTACAAAGGAATATAGACTGTTTTTGAGGTTGGCATTAGAAAATGCTTTTGCTGAGGCCCTCACATCTGGCAAATAATTAGTCATTTGCTGCATTTCTCAAACACTAAACAGACATCCGCTTCAGTCTCCCATTCTAGTCTGAGGAGTTAGGAACAGAATGATTTGCTTTTGGTTTCAATTTCTCTTGTCCCTTTCCTTCCCACTACATAACAGAAGCGTTTTGAGAGGCAAAAAAGAGAAGAGAGGAGAGGAGAAGGAAGAGCAAATAAAGGAAGAGCCGAGAGAAAGAGAAAACTTGTGAGAGCATCCGGGAACAGTTTGGCTTGAAGCAACGTGAAAAAGGTAAGGGTTATTTCTAAGTTTTCTTCTATATGCCTTGCATCTTTTCCCTGGAGCTTGAAAGTTTATCTCAGGATTAAAACCCAGAGAGAAAGGACAAGGGGGCAGCTTGAACAAGACATGTTTGCTTGGCACTGATTGATCGATCCAAACAGCTTCCTCTGGCCTTAGCTACTGATTCAGAAGTCTGACACTGGCCCCTGGCTTTGTGGTCTGGAGACACTGCAGCTCATCCCCATTAAGGCAGTGGGAAGTGCTGAGGGAGAGCCAGAGAAGCTTAAAGGAAAAAGGACAAAGCCTTGATATGGGAGCCCTGCCTTCCAGTCCCAGCCCTGTCTCTTCTAGTCTGATCCTGGCCAAATCTTTTAAGCTCAATGAGCCACAGTTTTCTCATCAGCAGAAGTAGAGATGAAATGATATGTATGCACAAGCAGGGGATGGGACCACATGATGTCTTGAGGTCTCCTATAGATGTGGAATCAACAATTCTCAGCCCAGTGGAGTGAAAACCACACTAGAATTGGTCCTCTGTCACCTGGGCAATCTCAGTGCCAGGGCCATTTGTTCTTGCTGGGAGAAGACAGAATCTATAAGGTTTGCAAAGGTCCCCGAGTCTACATCAGCTGGGAATTGCACTGCTGAGGAGCAGGGCAGTGAGAGCTCCCAGGATAGTCTGGGTGGGCTGTAGTTGTCAGCCTGGAGACAGGTGCAGAGGGAGTGCCGCACATCCTCTGTGCCCCCAGTGCTGGATGGACCCCTCTGAGGATGGCCCTGCTCCTTCCTGGTTGGTGCTTGGGGCATGGGCAGCAGGGAGGGCCTTGCTCTGGTCCCCTGGGCTCTGTGGGCTCACTGCTGCTCAGCAGGCTGCTAGGAGAATACTGGCAGGATTGCCAGGACGCAGCTCCTACCAAAGGTTGGACTCTACATGGGGAAATTGCTGGCTGAGCAGGAGTGGTTGTTGTTGTTGTGGTTGTTGTTGAGTTGTTCATTCATGTCTGACTCTTCATGACCCCATAGACCACTTGTCCATAGGGTTTTCTTGGCAAGGATACTAGAGTGGTTTACCATGTCCTTCTCTAGTGGATCATCTATCATCAGACAGTGCTCACTGCCACCACAAGACAGTGGCCCATGAGGCAAAGAGCAGATGGAGCTAATTCATTAGGAGCAGTCCAAGCTGAACCTTAAAAGAATGATAGGAAAAGCACAAAGCAGAGTAACACTAGCTGGCATCTGAATCACCCTGTAAAGCTCACTAAATGCTTTGGAGAAATTATCTCCTTTAAGCCATGACAGCCCAATGAAGGAGGCACTTTGCTATTGTGCCCATTGCACAGATAAGGAACCTGAGGTACAGAGACATTAAGTCTGTGGTCACCAGGCTGGGATGTGTGGCTGACAGGATGGGAGCCCTGCTTCTCCTGACTCCAGGTCCAGCCCTATATCCATCTTGCCCCATGGCCTCAACAAGTTCCATGTTAGGGGATGGCATATCTTGTCACTTTTCCTTGTCTTCTTCTGACCCAGAATATCCAAATGCTGGCTTTTTCAAATTCAAGAGAAATTAGGAAAGTCTCCTTACACTGCTCCACATTATCTAACAAGCCCTATATCTTATGAGGTCAGGGTAGATACGGAGGGCAGCCTGCCCTCCAGGTTTGGTACAGTGAAGACTGCCTTGGTCCAAGCTCTGGGATGTTCCCAGGAGTAAAGATCCACAGGCTATCTACATGGGACTAGAAATCCAGAGAAAACATCCACACATCAGGCAGAAAGAATCCCTGGTGACCCTGGGAGGCAAGGAGGGTGACTGTCCCCACTCCTGGCCTCATTTCCTGGCCCCCAGAAAGGATTGTAAAGTTCTTTACAGCTCAACTACTTGTGGAAGGGTCGGGTTTAACTGGGGCTCTGGACCTGGGATCTGACTGCACCATTCCAGAGCCCCAGAGACCTTATCTGGAGGGACTGAGGGTGGCCAGATTCTCAGGCATTGTCTGAGCAGGCCACTGAGGGGCTGGTTCTGGATTCCTGTCATGAGGTCAGAATTTGGGGTCCTTGTTCCCTATCTGGAAAAGGGGTGACTCCAACCAATGATTTCTATTTGTGTGGACTTGAGATTTTTTTGGTGTAATAATCTCCTAGGGATGAAACTCCCTCTACCAATCTAGGCCTACAACTGTTTTGCAATTTAAAGCCTTAGAGTGATCCATGGACCACTGGCAGGTTACATGACTTGCCTAGGGTCATAAATTCAGGTTGCGTCAGGGACAGTATTTAATCTATGTCTTCCTGACTTCCAAACCAACTCTCTATCCATTCTTGCATGATGCCAATGATTAAGAACAATACCACGTCACAGTCAAACCAATGAACTCCTTGGTGTCCACAAATTCAAAAGAAAACACAGAAGTCAGTAAATAAAAATTGAAGCAGTAATCAGAAACCTGGGTGGGGTGGGGGAAGGGAGGGATGGACAGAAATCACCCCAATTCACTCAGGCAACACTAAGAAGGGACTAGCACCAGACACTAATAAAAAGCTGTTTATCTCAAAGTATTTGCCCCAGGTACTGTCCCCTATTATCCCTCCCTCACACTAATGCATGTCCATGGCCACCGTGAACCTGGAGCAACATAATGCAAAGGGATGTGATTATTGAACCAGGTACAACCTTGCAAGATGGGACTTTCAAAGAATGGGAATATTTTTCCTATGTGACAGCCCTAGGGATCAAGAATGATGTGACAGGACATCTGGTCAAGGGAGCTCAGTGCTGCATTTAACAGAGAGCTGAGTCAGGAGTCAGGAACACCTGCGCTTAAAAGCTGGAAACTGTCTTGGTTTCCTCATCTATAAGAATGGGAATAATAATTGTACTTATGTCCCAAAAGATGAGATAGTATTTGTAAAGTATGTTGTAACTCTTAAGGCACTACATAAAGGTAATGATTATCATTGCCATTAATATCATTAACATTATTATCTGCCATTGCCATCTCTTTGTTCCTAAAAATAGAATTCCACAAGCACAGAGCATCCTCTCTTCTGCTGTTAGTAATATCTGATTCATCTAGGCAGCCTCAGTGGAGGATTGTGTGAATTCTGTATCTTGATTTCTGTGTAAGAAGCTCCTCTACATTTACAGGTGACTATGGCATCAGCAGTGCCCATGAAGGCCCCCATATGTCTGGTAGAAAACAGCAATGGAGAGCTGACAGTAAACCAGCAAGCCTTGCGGATTCTTAGTTCCATTAGCAATCCAGTGGTGGTGGTAGCCATTGTTGGCTTGTACCGTACTGGAAAATCCTACCTGATGAACAGGCTGGCAGGAAAGAACAAAGGTAAGTGGAGTCCTGGCCTCCAGGAGTCTAATTTTGGAGGATATTATGTTACAGGGTTAGAGTTGCTACAAGGCATGACTGAGACCTCATGAAGGGGTAAAACTTGGCCCCTGGTTTACCCTGCCTTCCAGTCAGTCACTAAGCATTTATTAATCACCTACTATGTGCTAAAAATTCTGCCAAGTGCTGAGGAGACAAAGAAAGGAAAATTCAATCCCTGCTCTCAAGGAGTTCACAGTCTAATGGGTGAGAGAACATGCAAACAACTGTATACAAATGAGATCTATACAAGATACATTAGAGATAATCATTAGAGGAAAGGCAGTAGCATTAAAGGGATCCAGACAAGTTTCTCACTTCAGTTTAGGTGAGAATTGAAGGGAAAAGGGGAGGCCAACAGGCAGAGATGAGGAAGGGGAGCATTCCAGACAGGAGAGACCGAGTCAGGAGATGGAGTGTCCACCAAAGGCTTAGATCTTACACTGTAATACTTGTAAATTAAATTACTCCACAACAAATATCTTCATGACAGAGAGACCCACATGCTCTAGCATTAAAAATATGTGTGTTACTTTAAAAATGGGAAAGTGTCCTGCCCCGGTTGCTGTCCCCTGGCTGCCTGTCTCCTCGTGGCTGTGTCTCTTACCTCCTGCTAGCCCTGCATCCCTCAGGATTATTGCCTCTACTTTACATTATGTTGGTCTGAGAATGGGGTTGTCAGTTACTCCTGTGAGTGACCAGAGCAGCCAGATCACAAGAAGGAATCATTTTCACCATAGTGATCACTCTTATGGGATCATCCACACAGAGCTGGAAAGGACCCTAGGGAACCTCTAATTCAATCCTTCTCTTTTTACAATTGAGGAAAGTAAGCCCCAGAAAGGCCTACTGATTTGCTCAGTGTCACACAGGGAGCAAACAAGAGAGGCAAGCTTTGAACTCTCAAGTCAGGGCTTTCTGCACTTACCACATTGTGGCTTGTGTTCTGAAATGCATTTAGAATCCATCTATTTGTTGCTGTATTCAAACTGAGCCCTGAGGAATATCAACAACTTTACCTTTGGAATCTTCCCACCTCCCTTTTTTTTCCCCTGATGAATGAATGAATTTACTAAGCACTACATGCCAACTACTGTGCTAAGTACTGATGATACCAATACAAAATCAAGACAGCCCCTGCTCTCAAGAAGCTCACAGTGTAATGAGGAGATAACACACACACACAAGGTTTTAGCTTGAAGTCATGGAAAGGCCACTGGTCCTACGGGTTCAGCAGAAAATCAGATATTAATGCATCTCCTCTGTTGTCTCTTCTGCAGATTAAAACCACTCACGCAGAACCATTGGTCAGTAACAATGATTGTTTGGGGGTCTTCACTTGTTGCTGTGGCTACTGAAGGAATGGAGGCCACAGCACCTGCAGAGTCAGTAGCCAGATTTAAGGGATCATTCCCCTGGACCATGGCTGCCTGGGATGGGCTGGATTCAGGACAGGTGGCCAGGGTGAAGGGGATGCCATTGTTTCAGGCCTCTCATACTTACCTGCTGATTACAGGTGGTGCCAATAAGTGGCTGTTGGTCAGCTTTTGGTGGTGGTAAGGATGGTTTTCCCTGTCTCAGATGGCTACTCCCCAGGATAATGGCTGCAGTAGCCAGTCTGGAAGCAAGGCTGATGATCAGGGTTAGAGGTTAAAGGCACTCTTTCTCCCAGGGGTTTTGGGAGAAAGGATTTGAGCCATCTCTTCAAGGTCTGAGGGGAGGGGATGATAAGATGGCGGTGGTGATTTGATCCTCCTGCAGTATGTTGACTTCTGCTCAGGATCCCTAACAGATTGACTGAGGCTGGATTTCCAGTCTGGTGAGGGCCAGTTGGTCAGCACCTTTGTTCATAGAAGTAAGGACGGGGTGGGGGGAGGGCCTCTTCTCCACAGGGTGAGAGATGCATTCCTAGATTTTGGATTGGTGGGCCAGACTGGCAGGAAGGCTGATGGTCTGAGGCACGTTGCTGTTCATAGGCCTCTTGGGCTTACTTACCCAAATGTGGCAGTTGGGCAGCATTTGTGGTGGTGGTAGCTAGGACAAAAGGTCCCCTCATTTCATCTTGAAACAAGACAAAGTCCCTGACTTCCAAGATCTGACATATAACTTAAGCCATATTCAGGAAACCCTTGATCCAGGACCACAACTCTGAGTCTAAACTGATTGGTTTTGAACTCTGAGAAATCTTATTAATCATTCTCATTGACTTTGGTTTTATTACTTTTCATTTTTAATTTGTTTTTATATTTTGCCTTGTAATTTTGTATAAGACATGACTAATGAAGAACTTTTCTTCTGTTAACAGCTGTGAAATATAACCTTCCATCCACTGTTAATTCTTTTATTATGCAAGTTTTAGAATTGTTTAAATAACCAATCTATTGGGAAACCTGTGGTATATAATATGCTGTAATACGTCTCCATTTGTCACCAAATTAGCATCCCTCCCTGGTGAGACTCCATTTCTATCAAGGCTCTCTCCAAAAATAGAAAGTGCTCAGAGTTACTAGATGTTTAAGCAGGTCTCCAACTCAAGGGAGGTCCACAAATGACTATGAGCATTTCCAAAACATTAAGTCTGGGTTCATTTAGCACTGAACATTTTCAATGCCAAAATGGCCTCTACCTATCCCTTCATCAGCCTAGGTAAAAAGAAGTTAGTCATTGCCAAGTTCCTCTTGAACAAACTCTCTTCAAGCCTCCACAACAACCCCCCAAATAAAACTGCATAGTCCCAGGAAATTATGGCAGGGTGCCATCAGTCACACCAGCTTGCTTTCTCCTTCCTGGATTTCTTTTTGGGATTCTGGCAAAATTCCCTGCTGTCAGAAAACTCTCATAGAGCCTCAAATGCATTGTTTTCTTTCCAGGAAACTTTCCCAGTATGTCACACCCCTCTAAAATGTCTCGTGCTGTGTGTAAAGACCATTCAGTGGTGCCTCCACACAATGTGTAGGCATTCTGACACCATCCTTTTTAAGGGTTCAAACCCACAATAGCTGGATGTTCACACTCAAATCTAACAAATAATTGCACAAGGCTCCTCTAGGCTCACCCCTGCTCTGTTACCGGCAAAAGTCAGGGTAAACTTGGCCACCCATTGAGTACAGAAAATATAGTCTCAAACAACAACAATACTTAAAAACATTGCAAAAAATAGTAATAAAATAAATACCAACAAACCAATACCTACAAAAATTAAATGACTGAGAACAGTAAAAAAGAAAGATAATTTCCCTCTAGAGGAAACCATGTGGGGTTATGAAGAAGTAAGGAGAAGTACCACCTTTCTGCAGACCTGTGGTTTACGGGCATTCTGGACAGGCCCTCAAAGTGGGTAGAATGTGGGACCTGGAGTGACAAGCTAAGCTGAGTTGACTGCCTCCCAGTGGGATTCCGGGCAAGTCGCTTGATCTTGGTTTGCCTCATTTTCCTCAACTGTAAAATGGATAGAACAAGAGTGTCCATGCTGTAGGGTTGTTGTCAGAATCAAATGAGATATTTGTGAAATGCTTAACACAGAGCCTGGTACACTGTAGCCATTTAATAAATGCCTGTTTCCTTTGCTTCCATCTCCGCAATAGAGAAATATAATGGGAGTTCGTGTAAGGACAGTTTTTAAGTAACAACTTACTGAGTCAGCATGAAACTGAAGCTGGCTTGATTCTAGGGAATAATCTCATTGCTGTGGGGTGTGTGTGTGTGTGTGTGTGTGCTGGGGGAGAGGGGTAACTGTCCTGTGGTTCCTACACAGTAGAGACTTTCCTTCTCATGTAGATCAGCTCTTTCTCCCTCCCTTCAGGTCTTAGAAAGTTTCCTGGGGGCTGGGTGGGAGAGGGGCTCACAGAGATTCAGTGACTTGCCCAGGGTCCCACAGCTGTCCTGTGTTCTTCCTTGCTCTCTCCCAACACTTCCATGATGCCCTCCTCTGGGCTGCTCTTCATTCTGTAAGCTCAGGTTTCTGGAGCTGGTCTAAACTTTTTGCAGGCTTGGGTGTGGCTGAATCTGTTAAGAAAGATAATGTCTCCAGGCACACCGGAAGCTCTCATTGATCTTGTTTGCCACCTTTACCACAGATCTTACCCCCTAAGTCTAATCTCACGGTGCTCTGGGTGAACTGAATGCATGCATTCCTCTGTCCCTAGCTGCTGATATTGGATAATGTGGGAACCAGGTGGACCCGAGTGTGAAAGCTGCTTCAGCTGCTCACTGGCTGTGTGATCCAGGCCTAGTAATTTACCCCTCTCCATCTCAGTTCCCTCCTCTGTGAAATGGAGATAAAAGAAACACGTAGTTCACAGCATTATGTGAAGACAAAAGGAGAGAACACACATAAAACATGCTGCACAAATGCTAACTCTGATCCTCGTTCTCATTCTTTCCCCACTGAGGAGCTGCCCATCTTCTCCCTTTAGGACCTAGGAGTTTGGCTGCTGCAGCCTCTGGGCTCCCTGCTTCCCCTGGGCCCTCATGTCTCACTCTTCCCTTGCAGGCTTCTCCCTTGGCTCCACTGTGCAGTCTCACACAAAGGGCATCTGGATGTGGTGCGTCCCTCACCCCAGCAAAGCGGACCATGTCTTAGTTCTGCTTGATACCGAGGGCCTTGGAGATGTGGAAAAGGTAAATTAATCTGTGACATTCTGCTCACCCAATTCTCCTTCCTGGCTCTGCCTGACCTAAGAAGGAATGACGTCTTACACCTGACAGGCCTGTGTATGGGTACAAAAGCCTACTGCCAAGGGCTGCTTGTGCTATATATCTGTGGGGTGATCAAGTGGGATGGGTCTGGGGCTGCAGCCTGGGTTCCGGGATGCTGCCATCACGTTGAGGAAGAAGTCCATGCCAGGTGAACATAAAGGGCCCGTCACAGGGTCCTACTACTCTCAGTGTATCCAGGACTTCCCCAAAGTTCTAACTGTAGGAAAAGATGGGCCAAAAGAGGAAGCAGACCACAACCCCTAGATGAGGATGGCGCTGGACCTCAGGTCAGACTGATTGTCTGGGAATCCCATTTCTTGGAGGCAGTTCCCATTTCTTTAAAAAGCCTCTGAAAACCCATTTCTGAACTTGTTCCTGCAGGCTATAAATTCACCAGTGAATGGAAAAGACCAGTCTACCCATTAGCCAACATTTGCTAAGAACCTACTCCCTGCTGGGCTCAGGGGACAAAAATACCAAAGTCATATAGTCCCTGCCTTCAGGGAGCAGCCAGGGGACACTGTGGCAAAATTGCTGAGCTTGGAGTCAGAAAGATTTGAGTTTGAACTCTACCTCAGACAGTCATGAGCTTTGTGACCCTGGGAAAGACACCTGAAACCTGTCTAACTCAGTTTCCCTATTTGTAAAATGTGGATGATAATAGCACCTACATCTTAGGAGTATTGTGGGGCTCAAGTGAGATGATCTCTGTGAACTCCTTTGCAAAGCTTATATACCAATGCAAAGCAATGTACAGCTGTGAGCTGTTGGCAGGCTGTTCATAAAAGCCAGGGAAGTTGATGATCCCATGACACATCCTATAACGTCTGATTTGGGCTGGCTTTATTTCATGTGGATATTCTTGTTCTTTAGCGTTTTTTAACTGCAAAGGCCCCACATTTCCTCTGTGAGAGTACAAGAGCTGAAACTGCCAGCTAGGGTATAGACACCTAAATAGAACCAACTCTATGTGTAGCTAAGCTGGCCTGCTGAGGCCCTGTACTCCTTAGCATCAGATTCCTTGCCAAATTTGACTTATTCAATCAAGTATACATGCGTGGGTAGAATCTCAAGGGGAAAAGGTGAAGTCTTCACAGCAAATGTCCTATTGTCCTCCCTAACAGGACTAGGACCATGCCGAGTACATTCAATAAAAATATATTAAGCAGCTAATATGTGCCAGGCACTGTGCTAAATGCTGACAGTACAAATAAGAAAAAGGAAAGAAAGAAAAAGAAGCTTACAAACTAATGGAAGAAGACAAAAGGAAGCTGACAATGGGGGAGGGGGAAAGGGAAAATCCTATGCAGGGGCATGACATTGCATGGAGTCAAAACCAGAGCTGCTGATAGAAAATGGAGAGTCACCTGGAAAGTTCTGATCTGAGACCCCTCTAAAAGAAGGCTTTGGGAGGAATTTACTGCTGTGCCCTCCAATTAGAGCGGAGAGGAAATTGAGGGAGCTAAGAAGGTGATAAGAATAAAAAATTCAGTCAACCAGCATGGGGATGAGATTTCAGGTGATCAGCTTATCCTGGGGGAAGCATGATGGGCATGGTGGTCCCTGGAGTCCAAACAACTGACAGAAAAGAGAGAGATTCATTACCAAGGTCCTTTCCATTGGCAAAGAAAAAAGCTTTTTACAAGATTTTAAAAAAAGCCTTTCTTCACGCTAAGAATGTTTTCATGCCAGTTGTCCTTGGCAATTTTTTGCCCATCACTATTTCTCCTTACATCCCTAATCTGCAAAGATGATTTCTCAATGTTTCCAAAGTTCAACAGTTACTAAATGAAGTCTTCCTTTTTTTATCTAATAGAGTACACACCCTAAAGACAGATAGAACAATAAGTCTTCCCACTCTGCATCTGTTATGTCATCTTACCTAACATGGCTCTAGAGTACATGGAAATTAGAAAAAAATTAATATTACAGATATGCATCAGTCATGACACCTTTCCCATGCCAAAACAGAAACCAGATGGAGACCATTTGGTGGTGGTACAGATCTTGAGTGCTGCCAGACAACCTTTGTTGCTATAACTCTCACTGGCCATCTGAGAGCTACAAATCCAAACACAAACACACACACACACACACACACACACAACACAACACACACACACACACACATACACACACAGACAATAATCTAGAACCCACATAGCTGCTGGGGTCCCTCTCAGGTGCTTAATACCGCCTTCACTCCTCCCCAGTAGCTAATCTGGATTTTCAGACTACAATGCCACTCAGATAGCAGAGACCTAATATGTTCACAAATACATAGGCAGAGGACAGTAAATTAAATAGCGACAAACCCTCTTGAAGGAGCTGGCACATAGGCTCTGCCTTGAAGGAAGCTAAGGATTAGAAGTGGCTCAAGTGGGAGAGAGAGAGAGAGCATTGAAGGCATGGGAAACAGACTATGAAAAAGCAAGGAACAGTGAGCATATAACTAGCCTGTGAACATAAAATAGAGCCATGCTGGAAAGAGGAATTTGTATTTCATCCTGGAGACAATGGGCAGCCAGCAAAGTTTCTTGAGCTCAGGAGTGACATGGTGTGACCTACACTTTAACATAAAGTTTGTTTCCTTTCACCCACTACTGGGCAGAATTTAACACTGTAAGACATGAGGCCCAAACCTTCATTTGGTCATAGAATTCTTGATCTAGATCTGGAAAGGACCTCAAGGGGATATAAACTAATCTCCTTTTTTCCCAGAAAAAGGAGGAGAAACCCAGGGAGACTGTGAAATGCGTAGAGTGTTTGACCTCACAAAAGCCTTTCACAGTCTCTGTGAATCACAGGTTCTACAAAATCTTTTTGCTTACTTGTGTCCTCTCTCAGAATGTCCTGTTTAGACACAGGGTTGGTCCATTCTGTACCTGCGGAAGAGACAATGGTAGGAATTTTAATTTCACTTTCTACTGTGGAGTGCCCCGCCCCCACCTTTCCTTCTTTCCTCTATCTCCATAGAGGAAAGTCACTACTCTGGGTGTCTTCATTCTTTTGCTACATGAGGTTGAGCTCAATTTGTCTTTTCTGTGCATTAAAAATTCTATATAATTGATCAAGCTGAGATGAATGAATAAATGAAAGAAAAAGCATTTGCTAAGCACTTAGTATATACAAAGTATTATACTGAATGCTGGAAATAAAATAAAAAAGCAAGACAGTTCCTGCTCCCCAGGAGTTCCCATTCTAGTGGGTGAGACAACATAGAAGAAATTTTAGCTCCAAGGCAATAGAGAGGTCCCAGGGTCCTTCTTTTATGGTGCAGAGGCAACCCAGTTGGTAATGCCTCTTCTCTGATGTCATTTCCACTAACAAGATCATATCAGTTTCTGCTGTACAGCTGCTTAGCCATGCCAAGGATTTGGGTAGCAAAAAAACCATTTTTTTCCTTAATCTTCAGTAGTTGTGGCTTCTGTACCAAAAGAGGCATTTGTAGGGAGGCGCCTCTATTGAGGTTTCTATCCAGGTATGATGGGAGCTAGGGTTGGGCTGCCGGTAGGATTGTGATGCTGCCCTTTCCAGGCCTCTTGGACCTGTCTGCCTATTGGTGGAAGTTGGTATTGGTGGTGACAAAGAAGGAAAGCCCTGTATCTGAAAAGATTTCTCTCTTCAATGTGATCTTCCCCCAAATGATCGCTTTGGGCTACAGGATGAAAGGTGGTTGATTTGTCTAGGTGGCATTGTTATTCCAAGAGGCAGAGCAATATTGGGTTCAGAGCCCCAGGTTGCCTGTCGCCAAGTCTTAGAGGAGTTGGTGGTCAAGGTAGTGGTGAGAGTTTTGTTGCCTGGCACAGGCTACCTCCTGTCTCTCCTTTGGGTGTCTTGCTTGCTTGGTGAAACTGAATGGCCAGGTGAGATTTACACCAAGAACTCAAGGCTAGTTCAAAATGATGAAAACCATCAACATAACTGACCATCTCAATAACAAAACCAACAGAAACCATGTGATTGTCTCAATAAATGCAGAAAAAGCCATTGACAACATACAACACATATTCCTATTAAAAACACTAGACAACATAGGAATATGTGGAGCTTATCTTAAAAAGATAAGTACTATCTATCTAAAACCATCAGCTAAGGTGGAAGCCTTTCTGAATACAATCAGAGTAAAGCAAGGATGCCCATTATCACCACTATTATTCAATATTGTACTAGAAATGCTAGCAACAGTAATGATGAGAAAAAGAAATTGAAGGAATTAGAATAGGTAATGAGGAAACAAAAGTGTCACTTTGCAGATGACATGATAGTGTACTTAGAGAATCAACTAAAAACTATTTGAAATAATTAACAACTTTAGCAAAGTAGAAGGATATAAAATAAACCCACATAAATAATCAGCATTTCTATATATAAGCAACAAAGCCCAGCAGAAAGAGATAGAAAGAGAAATTCCTTTTCAAAAACTGTAGACAATACAAAATATTTGGGAGTCTATTTGCCAAGACAGCCCTAGGAACTTATATATGAACACAATTACAAAACACTTTTCACACAAATAAAGTCAGATCTAAACAACTGAGAAAATATTCATTGCTCATAGATAGGCCAAGTCAATATAATAATAAAAAAAAAAGCTCACATAAATTTTTTTTATTCTGTACCATACCAATCAAACTCACATAGTTATTTTATAGAGCTTATTTATAGAGTTATAAAAAATAACAACTAAATTCATTTGGAAGAACAAAAGGTCAAGAATATCAAGGGAGTCAATGAAAGAAAATGTGAAAGAAGGCTGTCTAACCTTACCAGATCTCAAACTGCATTACAAAGTGGTAATTATCAAAACAATCTAACACTGGCTGAGGAAAGTAGTGGTGGATCAGTGGAATAGATTAAGTATACAATACATTGTAGTAAATGACCATAGCAATCTAGGATGTGATAAACCCTAAAATCCAAGCTTTTGGGACAAAAACTCATTATTTGATAAAAACTGGAGGGAGAGAACTGGAAAACAGTATGGCAGAAACTAGATATAGACTAACAACTCATATTGTATACCAAGATAAGGTCAAAATGGGCACATGATTTACAAATAAAAGGTGATACCATAAGCAAATCAGGAGAGCCTACAATAGTTTACCTGTCAGATCTATGGATAAGGGAAGAATCTGGACCAAACAAGATAGAGAAAGCCTCACAACATGTAAAATCATCATTTTGATTTTATAAAATTTAAAAGTTTTTACACAGACAAAACAAATGCAACCAAAATAAAGAAAGCAGAAAACTGGGGACAAATTTTTTTGTAGCAAATATCTCTAATAAAGGCCACTTTTCTCAATTATATAGAGAACTGAGTCAAATTTATAAGAATACAAGTCATTCCCCAATTGATAAATGATCAAAGGATATGAACAAGCCGTTTTCAGAAAAAGAAATCAAAGCTACCTGTAGTCATATTAAAAATGCTCCAAATCACTATTAATTAGAGAAATACAAATTAAAACAATTCTGAGGCACCACCTCACACCTATCAGACTGGCTAATATCACAAAAAAAGGAAAATGATAAGTGTTGGAAAGGATGTGGAAAAATTGGGACACTAAGGCATCGTTGGCAGAATTGTGAACTGATCCAACCATTCAGGAAACCAATTAGGAACAATGCCCAAAGGGCAATTAGACTATGCATGACCTTTGATCCAGCAATACTACTACTAAGTATCCCAAAAAGATCATAAAAAGGGAAAAGGACTCGTGTCTACAAAAATATTGATAGCAGCTCATTTTGTGGTGGCAAAGAATTGGAAATTGAGGGGATGCCCATCAATTGGGGAAATCTGAATAAATTGTGGTATAAGATAGTGATGGAATATTATTGTGCTATAAGACATGATGAGTGGGTGGATTTCAGAAAACATGGAGACACTTATACAAACTGATACAAAGTGAAGTGAACAGAACCAGGAGAACACTGTACACATTAACAGCAGTATTGTGTGATGAAGAACTGTGACTTACTCAACTATCCCCAGCAATACAATGATCCAAGAGAATCCCAAAGGATTCATGATGAAACATGCTCTCTGCCTCCAGAGAAAGAATTGATATCTGAATGCAGACTAAAGCATACTATTTTTTCTTTTCTTTCTTATTTCCTTCCTTTCTCTTTCTTTCATTCTTTTAAAAAATTTGTTCAAGTTTTCTTGTACAAACTGAATAATATGGAAATATTACACATGATCACACAATAATGAACATCAGATTGCTTGCCATCTCAGGGATGGGAGAGGGGATGGAACTTGGGACAGGATTTGGAACTTGAAACTTACAAAAAAAAGGTTAAAATTTGTTTTAACATATAAATGATTGAAAAAATAAAATGTTATTTAAAAAATGAAACTGAATACAAAAATAGATGCTTTGCCAAGGCTTTGCCAGCCTTGATCTTTCTCTGATTTGTTAGATTAGAAAGTTGACAGATAAAATATAGACCAGCCAACCAACTGATGATAGATAGATAGATAGATAGATAGATAGATAGATAGATAGATAGATAGACAGATAATCTTTTAGACATTGCTTCTAGGCAATGACTTAAACTATAATCTCCAGCCCCAACCATAAGACATCAAATCTTTAACAGATGAGTATTCCCTGACTCCCGTGGCCACTGACTCTAAGGGTCATACAGTGTCATAGATGAAAGGTTGACTAATAGGCGCATTGACATAATCTGTTTTGTAGGGTGACTCCAAGAATGACTCATGGATCTTTGCCCTGGCCATCCTGCTCAGCAGCACTTTTGTCTACAACAGCATGAACACCATCAACCACCAGGCCTTGGAGCAGATGCAATATCCTTCTAGAACTTCAGGACATCCATAACAGGCTCAGTGCCAATATTTCCTCACCAGGACAGATGATAAAAACTATCCACACTTTAGGAGCTGTCATCATGAGTTGTTTTGCTCAGAAATACATGTGGCTAGGTGACTAATCTGAGGACCAAACCAGACCGGCCAATCCTCACATGACAGGCTGGTACCAGGCCACCAATGAAGCCTTGGTTGGGCCTTGGTTGAGCTTGCCTTTAGATATCAGTATTCCACTTCCATGTTCGAGAACTCTGACATGTCCCTCTGCCTTATCACTGCCAAGTGATATCATCTTCCCCTCTCCTTCTCATCTCACATCATTCATATGTCTTCCTTTACATCCCATCCTTCACCCACGTCTCACATGACGAGCTGGCTCCTCTCCTTGCCAAAGCAAACCCTTTACATGCTCCCTTGATTCTATCTCATCCTGTCTTTTCTAACAGGTTATCCTTTCCATCATCCTTGCCCTTTCACTAATCTTCAATCTCTGCCTATCTATTGTCTGCTTCCCTGTCACCTACAAAAACAGTCATGTTTCCCCCATCCTTAAAAAAACCTTCACTCAACGCTATGAATTATCTCAACAAGTTACAACCCTATTTCTCTACTTTCGTTCCTAGTGAAAAATTCATTGAGAAGGTTGTCTATAATCAGTGCCTCTGCTTCCCTTACTCTCACTCTCATCTATCCCTTCTGTAATTTACATTCTGACTCATCATTCAACTGAACCTCTTCTATTCAAAATTGCCAATAATCTCTAAATTACCATATCTACTGGCCTTTTCTCAGTCCTTCTTCTTGACTTCTCTGCAGCCTTTGCCACTGCGGATCAAGCTCTTGATATCCTTGAGAGCAGAGACCATTTTTTGCCTTTATTTGTATGCTAAGCGCTTAGAACACTGTGAGATGCATAGTGCACATTTGATAAATGTTTCTTGATTGGCTGGTTTAGGGTAAGACCTTGTGTTCTAATAGTATCACAATCAGGAATCATAATGAGATCTGTGGTCTCACTCAGGCCGATCAGGGACTCCCCTCTAAAGCTCTTCCTTTCTCCTTTTACATCTGTGATCGAAATCCCATGAGTACAGAAGGGAAGGTGGGAGACAGAATTTATAAGACTCACTTCAGGGAAGGGAAGATCCCACAAGTAAAACTGGGAACTGATGGTGGGGGGTGGGTGTTTCCTCTTCCTTATCCGTGATCTTAGATATGTAACAGAGCTGACAGAGCTAATCAAGGTCAAATCCTCACCTAATGCTGTTGGAGAAGAAGACTCAGCAGAGTTTGTGGGCTTCTTCCCAGACTTTGTGTGGACTGTGCGGGATTTCATCCTGGAGCTTGAGCTAGATGGCCACCCCATCACCCCAGACGAGTACCTGGAAAATGCCTTGAAACTCAGTAAAGGTAATTTATTAGGAGTTAAGATTGGGCCATGGGTGGCCCTTGGCAAAGATGGGGAATGGACAACAATTTTTTTTCATTTTCTTTGGTGCTTAGCTGTTTATTCTTGGGCCTTATTCTTTTGAATCTCATGGACTACAAAAATGGAGGCTGAAAGCTATGAAGACTCTCCTGGCTTTGTTGAGGGTCAGTTAATCTCTTTGTTGTAGCTCCAAAATTTCCATAATTTAGTGACCTCACCCAAGGCTGAGTAGTCCCTGAGATAACCGATTTTTGCCAACTTCTGTGATGGGTTTGTATCTTACAAATTCACAAAGGAGGCTTAAGTACCTGTATGTCCTGCAGTTGGCTGGTGAGCATGTTATTTCAATGAAAGGGAATGGTGTGATTTTAAGGGTTATTTCATTCAGTCCAGGACACAGCCTGAGGTATTCTTCCACTCTAGTAATAGCATAGACTTTGTTCATAACAAGAGATAGATAGTCACATCCTTGAGAAGTCATGTTGTATATCAAATGGGAAAGACATTTGGAGTCAGAGGCCCTGGGTTCAAATTAAAACTCTGGTGCTTACTGCACATGTGATTTTGGGAAATTTGGACATTTAATGCCTCTGAGGCTCAGTTTCCAAATCTGTAAAATGAAGAATTTGGACCCCAAGATCTCAAAAAAACCCCAAAACAAACTCTAGCTATAGATCTACTAAGCTAATGAACGCAGAGGGTTTCTCCCCTTGAGAATTCTAGAGAAATATTGGTTATGACTCCCTCAGATATATCTTCCTTATCCCAAAGATATCAGACTGACCATCACATGCTCCCATTCAGCTCTGTCATTGCTCTAGTAGCCTTTCTTCTTCTAACACTTTACAAGGGTTTATAAATCCAGATGTACAAATCTCTAAGTATGCACTATTTTCATTGTATGCTGATAACTCCTTGATGGCATATAGGCAGAGATGCTGATCTCACTGGAAATATCTCTAAATCATGTTTGGCAATGAGTTCCTTCAATGCCAGTCAAAAGACATTCATTAAATATCTACTCTACCCAAGGGACTATGCTAGGTGCTCAGCATAGAGACAAAAATGCCCACCCTCAAAAAGGTTACATGCTAGTAGGAGAAAACATGTAAAAGGTAAGTGAGTAAAAATAGATACAGAATAAATGTGGGTAACAAAGGAGGTAGAAAGAACTAAAGAACCATGACAATCATCAAAGGCCTCTGTAGGAGTTACTGTCAAAACAGAGGGCTGCAGAGAGGTACAGGTTCCAAGAGGAAAAGGTGACGGGGAGAAAAGTCCAAGCATAGAACTCCCTGGCCAGAAACACACAAATGAGTGAAGGAATGTCATATACAGAGAATAAGAAGGCCAGTGTGATTGAAATAGAGGATGGAAGGAGAAAAATGTGAATCCAATCTAGGATTAGAACCAGGTTGGAAAAGTTTTAATAGCAAAGTGTCATATTTGCATTTGGTTCCAGAAGCATTAAGGAAGCACTATAGCTAGCTTCTTGAGCCAGGCAATACCACAATCAGACTTGCCTATCTGATATATCAACTTGGTAATGTGTGTGCAATGAGTAGGAGAGAGGAGGAAGTGGAGGACAGAAGACCAATTGGAGGCTACTGCAAAAGCCAAGAGAGGTAATGAAGACCTGAGCTCAGGTGACTGTACGGTATAAGTGGATAGAAGGCAATGAATTCAAGAGATGTTATGGGGGTAGAAAGCAACTAACTGGTTATTACTAACTGGATGAGAAAGAAGTGTTGAAAATGACTTCTGAGATAGTTTCTTCTCACAATGGCTAATTCGGTTTGTAGTGATAGAATTGTTATTTACTTCAAACAAGGAACATTTGCTTTTGTTAACCTGGGAGCTTGTCTTCTTAGCGATCTTAGCCTTCAGCTCTTTTCATTTTAGGGAGCCACAATTCTCCTTCTACATTATCTATAATTAGTCCAGTAATTTGCTGAATTCTGTCTAACCATAGCTCAACTACAAATCTGTGAGAGGTTCCATTCAGATTTGGGGCAAATCCATTTTCTCTGAATGTTTTAGGTGTCTCCTCTGAATATCACAAAACATTATCCTTACAAGAAGTGAACTGTTGTTTGATTTCTAATAATATCTGCCTAATCACTTCTAATTTTAAAAATTCTCTGTCTATCATTCTATCTTAGAATTGGATACATGAAGACTTGAATACAGCAATTACCAGTCTTAAGCATCTTTTTCACCTCTTCTCCCAGGCCTGTGCCTTACCATGATCTCTTTTTTCCTGTCCTTCAGGCAAAGATCCCAAAGTTAAGATGGCAAACCTTCCACGAGAGTGTATCAGAAAATTCTTTCCAAAACGGAAATGTTTTACACTTGACCATCCAACAAATAATAAGTCATTCTTAGCGCATCTTGAAGATGTCCAAGAAAGCCAGCTGGAGCCTGCGTTCAAGTATCAGGCAGCCAACTTCTGCTCTTACATCTTTTCCAATGCAAAAACCAAGACCCTTAGTGGGGGAATCATGGTCAATGGGAATCGTGAGTTTTCTTTGCTCCAATGCATACTTGATTGGGATTGGATGTGTGTTCTTTGTTTCTTTGTGTGTGTACAGGTATTGCAAGATTTTTGTTTTAATGTCCTTATGGGCTTGGTTTTCATTGTTCTTCTTTCCCTGGCTTTAAGTTTAAAAAAAATGCCTAGGAATATGTACTCTGAAACAATGTCAGTGATCTTTGAAGGAGATTAAATTAGATCAAATTAAATTAGAGAGGAACCACAAGTGTAGAGAAAGGCAATTGCCTTAATTCTCCAAATATACAATATATATAAAACAGAACAGCATAAACCCATGACTTTTCTCTTTCTGACATTATTAAGGGGATGGTTTGTAAACACTAAGAGAGGTGGTCACTAAAATCCAGCAGATTAAGCTAATTTCCTTGTTTGATACTATAACTGGATTGATGTAGATCAGAGAAGTAGTGTCAACTTAATATAGATTTCAGCAGAATATTTAACAGTGTATCATGCTATGATTACGAACAAAATAGAGACGTAAAAGAGATGGTAATACTGTTAGGTAGATTCAGAACATATTAAATGACTAGATCCCCAAAATAGTCCTTAATAACTTGAGGCAAAATTGAAGGGAAGTCTATATTGCTATGCCTCAAGTTTTTAGAATGTTCTCAGTAACGTTGACAGAGTTAAAGATGATGCAACTGGAATGATGATCCAATGTGCAGATAGCATACAGCTCAGAAGAACAACCAATACATTGAATGAAAGAAATGAGATATAATGTTATCTTGGCAGAATCAAACAATGACTCTAAATGAATGATGGAACCTGATAAGAATAAATGCAAAGTTGTCCATTTGGTTACAAAAATCAACTTACCTAGCGAGTAGGGGAAACAGAGAAAATAGTTCTTGGGAAGATCTGCAGTAGTCTCAAATGCAAAGTTATTCAGTGCCTTCATTGTCAAGAATAAGCCAAATATTTGGATCCAGTTAGGCCACATCTGGTATTCTGTGTTCAGTTGTGGGCACCTCACTTCAGGAAACACATAGACAAGGTCAAACATTTCCAGAAAGGGGCAGCTAAAATAAGTGAAAGGACTGAAGTTCACATAAGAACAGGCCCATGGAAGAAGGCTTCCCCTTGACCCCAGAAGTCAAAATTAGGAGAAATGGGTAGAATTTGCCAATAGGTATGTTTAGATGTGATAAATAATTGAAAATTCCTAACCATTTAAATGGTTAAAAAGTAGAAGAGGCTGCCTTGAATCATCATGTTCTCCTCATCAGTCAAAATTACCTAGCTGTAATTAGAAGCCACTTGCTAAGAATACTGTCAAAGAGATCTTTGGCCAGGCATGGGTTCTACTAACTAGATAATTGACATTTGGACCAAAATGAATGAAGGTTGCTCTCTGCCTCGTCTTCCATTCTGTCTTGTCTATCAGGGTTGGGAAAGCTACTTGAGACCTATGTGAAGACAATCTCTAGTGGAGACATTCCCTGCCTAGAGAATGCAGTGTTGGCATTGGCTGAGACTGAGAACTCAGCTGCCGTGCAAAAAGCTGCCAAGCATTATGTAGAGCAGATGGTGCTAAAGGTGGACTTCCCCACAGAAACCCTCCAGGACCTGCTAAACCTACACACAGACTGTGAGAAAGAAGCCATCTCAATTTTCATGACACATTCTTTCAAGGATGACACGCACAAGTTCCAGAAGGAACTGGTGGTATGTTCTTTCAGCTATTTATCTTCCCTCTCACTTCTCTTTTCTGAGTGAAGCCTAGAGAGTGATCAGACTCTTCTTATTTTCTTTTTTTTTTTTACTTTTTTTTACTTTTTGGGGTCTATCCCCAGTTCATAAGAGAAGAACCTGGTTTCTCTAGAGAGCTAGAAGCATGAAGGCATAAATCACACTTGTCATTAAAAGATGCTCCTTCCTTGTGACACATTGAAATCAGTTACTTCTTCAAGGACAAAATATCACCCACTCACATATTTGCTGAAGAGATGGCATCATGGCTTTCTCAGAGCACACGGCAGCTTTTCTCAAGCTCACAGACTCACTCATCTCTATACACCTTCCCATCCCTAGCACCCTTAGATTCCTTCTAGGAGCACCTCTTGCCAGTCCAAATGTCTGCCCAGTCTTGTACCACAGCAAAGAGAGAATCATTATTATAGTCTTTCAGGACTGGTAGGGAAATGGAGGATCATTTGATGTAATCACCTCGTTTGGAGAGTGAGGACTTTGGGCCCCAAAGAGGTTAGCTGACTTGTCCATGATGACCAAAATAAAGAGTAGTAGATTTCAAACTAAAGCCCTCTCATCACTCAGGTCAGAATTTTAAGTATTATTCTACCATACTATACATCTTTCCAGAAAACAAATGCAGGTAGACCTTCTCTCAACAGTTTCTTTAGAATCTCATTCACTCTACAATGAAACAGGGCACTTTGATAGCCTTTGAGGCATCATGTCAATCATTACATGTTATTATTGTTATTGTTATGTTGCTTCATTTTCCATGATTGTCTTTCTCTCCATCTCAATGGCAGCAAATATTAGAATCCAAGAAGGATGATTTCATCCATCAAAATGAGGAAGAATCAACCAAATATTGTCAAACTAAGCTTGAGGACCTCTCTCAGACCCTGATGGAAGCCATTTCTCAAGGCACCTTTTCTGTGTCAAGGGGTTACCAGCTCTACAGGAAAGAAAGAGAAAAAATAACAAACAGTTATCATCAATTTCCCAGAAAAGGGATAAAGGTGAGCAAAGACCTGCAGTGACTTTCTCCTACCAATAACCACCCAAGAAGAGAATGTCTAGACACTGTTGGATTTTTAGTTCACATCTCAGCTGGAAGTTCTTGACATAAGGCTCTTCTTCCTGCCTAGAGAATATGCTGTGGAACTTAGGAAGCTAGGCCACCTGAGGATCATAACAGGCCAGGCCTGATGCAGGCTAGCTTAGTACGTCAGGTTCAAGGTTAGGATGAAATGAGAGGCTCACAGCTGTACCTCCCTGTGCTTTGGCCTTTTGATACACTCTGACAAGAGGTCACATCAATGTCCTCTGTGTTTAGTCTCCTGAGATAATCATGTCCCAAAAATGTTGTCAAAACCTTTTAAGAAAATAATTCTAGCCTACATAGCAGATATTGATCAGGGGGTTTGCCCTTCTCACCATCTGACTCAGTCTTGTGTGCTTTTGCAGGCAGATGAGGTCCTCCAAAGGTTTCTACAGTCACTGGCAATGACAGAAGAATCCATCCTGCAGACAGATCAAGCTCTCACTGAACAAGAGAAGGCCTTGGAAGGTAGAGGGGGATGGGGTCTGATGACCTAGTCACGCAGGGGACTTGTTGGGTTCGGGACAAAATTTTCCTAAGGGCCTCAGTGTGACATGAAGATTTTCTTGAAATACTTGGGATTCCTTCTTCTCTACTGTCCTAGTCCCTGGGGGATTTGTAAACAGCAACTGTGACCACAACCAGCAGGTCAGAGAGGCTGCTCTCTCAGACTTTCTCAGCTCTGCTTCTCTGGGTCTAATCAAGAAAAAAGAAATTTAGGAATTTCCAGTCTCTCTCTCACAGTCAGTTTGGGTTCTGAGCTCAGGAGAAAATATTATGTGTCATCCTACTGCTCCATGACCTCCAATGACTCCCTATTACTGCCAATGTCATATATAAACTCCCCCATTCAACATTTAGAGACCTTCATAAATCGGCCCTTTCCTACCTGTTTTTTATACCTTACTGCCCTCCATGTACGCTGTGTTTCAGCAACACTGACTTACTTGCAGTTTCCCAGACACAGCAAACCATCTCTGATCTCCAGGCCTTTCCACTAGCTGTCCCCTATACTATTAATGCTCTGCCTCATAACTCCTACTTCTGCTAAAAGTCCCACCTTCAAAAGGCCTTTCCTGTCCTTCAAGCTGTTAACATGGCTTCCCCATTCACTTGCCTCCTATTCATTCTTATATTTCTAGAATCAACATAATTGTTTGGATTCTTTTTCTTCCCTTAGAATATCAGCTCGTTTAGGGCAGGAATTGGCCTCTTTTATTTATTTGTTATTTTTGGTCTCTCAGGTGCTTGGCACAGTGCTGGCCCCTAATAAGCACTACTAAATGCTTGTTGATTGACAAGAGATGAAAACTAGCATCACCAGATTTTAATTTTCTCATGTTTTCTATTCCATCAAACAGCTGAACAGGTAAAAAGAGAAGCAGCAGAGAAGGAGAAGAAGTTGTTGGAACAGCAACAAATGGAAATGCAGCAAAGATGGAAGCTCAACAGAGGAGTTATGAAGAAAACATCAACCAATTGAAAAAGAGGATAGAGGAAGATAAGATCCAGATCCTGGAAGAACAGAAAAAGATTCTGGATCATAAACTAAAGGTACACAGAGATTGGGGTCAATGGTCATGCTTAGGAAGCAACCTCACCACCACGGCAGGAAGGGGGAGGGCAGACAGACAGGGAAGGCAAATTTACCTTTATTTACCAACATGGTGGACAGCAAAGGGCCCTGGACTTTTCATCAGAAGATCTAGGTTTGAGCCCTTTCCTCCTCCTCAATTTTCTAACCTATAACATAAGGTCAATCGCATCTGCCTCACTGAGTGCACAGAATAGTTGTATGGATCACACATGATTTTTACGTCACTAATAGAGCATCCAACCAGCTCTCATGATGAACTGCCCAGGCAAGTCTATTCCAAGTCCAAGTTCTTCTATAGGTCCTCACCCTATGAGACTCAAAGTTCACAAGGCCCTACCAAAGTCTGTGTTTCTCTAGTCAACCAGAAGACACAATTAGTTTAAAGCAAAAACCTAATGCACAGAGACTTATCTGCTGCATGCCTTTTCTACAAGGCAGACAACTTAACATACACTCATCAGTCTAGAGGACAGCCCTCACTGGTTTTTCTCCCATAGGAGATCCATGAATTTCTCTGAGCCTCAATGGAATGGGCCTTTTCTCTCCAGAAGGAGATTCCAGAACCCAGGAACCAAGCTTTTTGGAACAAAGATCTAGGCCCACCCCAACTAACTTGTATATTCAGACTTAATATCTTTTATTTCTATTTCCTGGTCAGCAATCTCTGGCATTATCTCTGCCAGGATCTTCTCTGTCTTGAGTTCAGCAAGTTCTGGCTTAACTTCCATTGCTGAACTTGTCACAGATAGCATCTACTAAGGGATACCCTTTCTGAAAACTATAGAGGGCTAAGCTCAAGGCCCTCAAGTGTGTTGATCCCTAACTCCTTGGTTCTTTCCTTCAAATGTAAGAGAAATTGAGCTGGTCCTGTGACCTCAGTGATGTAAATAACTACAGTGAGATTTCCCCTATCCGTACATTCAGCTGCACCCTGCACACATTGTCCTAGAGAATTCCTGGGGGCACTGAGGAGGGTCTATAACTTGTTCAGGGTAACACAGCCAGGATGTATCAGAGGTAGGACTTGAATCCAGGTCTTGTTGACTCTAAGGCTGTCAACAGGACCGTGCTGCCTCATACAAATAAGAGGGGGCCAAGAAAGACACAGGAGCAAATGCAAGCCCAGGGGACAAGGCCATTGTGTTCTGTACCCAGCCACTTTCCTAGCCTTTTGTAAATAACTGTGGTAGGAAAAAGCTTCCAAAACATCTGTTTTTAAAAAGGCTTAAAAAGCACAAAGTGCCATGAACCTTTCAGGTCCTGTGATTAGTTCTTCTGATGCCATATCACATAGAGGGAAACCTCAAAGGGAACTGTTTTGGATCTGTCTCCCCTCCACCTGCTTCTGACTGAAGTCCTGAATTCACATCAAAGCCTCTTTGTCCTCAACAAAGACTCTACAACAATCTAAGCTGTCTGTGGAGTCATCTGTAATCCTAAGAACCGTGGACAGTGCAAGTGAATTCCAGAGTCCCCTGGGATTTGGGGCTGCTAGGACGATGCCAAGTATCCCAGATTGAGTCAATTGTATCCTCCTAGTTGAGCCCACCACTGCTGAGTCCTGGGGCCAGAGCATATCCAGTGACTGAACTGGTTCCCTTAGGACCATTATCAATAAGATTCCCTACCCATGGGCCATAAGATAGAGTAGGTCCTGCCTAAACTCAGATTGGTAATAGGGACAGCAGATATTGATTCATATTTGTTTCAGTGTTGATTAGAGGGCCAAGTCACTTTGAAGTTGACTTGAGCCCATCCTGAGTCATTCTTTATATCATTTTTATGTCCTTTTTTTAAACATGTGGACATCTGGACCACTTGATTATAAATTGTGAATTGCTGAAGATGTTAGCCAGCATTTTGCTTATCACTTTAAGGTTTACAAAGCACACATTATCTCACTTTTATCCTCACAACAATCCGGAGAGTTAGATGTTATCATCGGTTAAGGAACATGATTCCAGTAATACCCAGTGAGTGTCAGAAGCAGGATTCAAGCTCAGGTTTAACTGACTCCAAGACCAGCACTGTACCACCTGGCTCCCCTGCTTTAGGACCATGATTCCAACCCAATTGACCTTGTGTTTAGCTGTTACAGATTTCAGCATTGGCCTGAGGTCTAGCTTTTTGTCTCTAGCAGTGGAAAAGTAATGAGTCATTACAGAGAAGGCCTAACCTCTGGATGGTTTTCTTCACTGTCCAGGAATATCCCTTGAGGAGAAATCCCCTGTGCCCTTTCCCCTCTTCTAATCTACTTAGGGCTCACACCTTATGCAGGAGAAACACATAGAGCTGCCTGGTTCTTGGTGGAATAGGGACTAACCAGTGTGCAATGCTGATGCTCTTTTGTCTTCTCTTAGGAACAAAAGAAGCTGTTGGAGGAAGGGTTTCATGTGAAAGCTGAAGAAATGAAGAAAGAGATGGAGGACTTACAAACAAAGATTAAGGATGCTGAGAGTGAAAAGTCCTCTGGGTGGTCCTCTTTTTTAGATAGTTTTGGCACTGGATTGATGGCTATATTACCTGGTACAGGAAAATTCATTGGCTTGGGGATAAAGGCGTTGGGCAAATTGGTGTCATAACCAAATGGGTTTCAGTTTCTCAAAAAAAAAAATTACAGAATATGTTTGTTCCACCTAATAAAACATGGCACTGAGACCTCTTTATATGTGTGTGTCAATATGCGACTGTGTGTGTGTGTTCCCTGCTTCTAATTCACCCAAGTATTAAAAAGAAAAGCTGATGCTCCCCAGACAGAATAAAGAGCATAGGAGGAAATTCACATGAAAAGCATCCAGCTCCTCAGTGTTAGTGAGAAGAGGCTTCACTCCCCTAAAGGAAAGACTTCTTTTCCTTAAGGCATTTAAGGTCTAGAAGGCAGAAAGCTTGAGTTCTCCCCTTCCTTTTCATGGCTCAGCATTCGGAGCTAGAAGGAGCCTGGACAGTCATGGAATCTAACCACCTCATTTTACACATGGCTCCTTGACAGTGCAATGGGTAGGGCAAGAACTCAGGAAGCTCTAAGTCATGTCCGACATCAAACACTTAAGGGCTGTAGGACCTTAAGAAAGTCACTGAACCTCTCTGTGTCTCAACTTCCTCATCCATAAAATGGGGGTGATAATAGTACCTACTTCACAGGCTTGGTGTGAGGATCAAATGAGTAAAATGCTTTAGAAACGTCAAAGTGCTATGTAAATGCTAGCTATTAATATTATGAACACTGAAGCATAGAGATACACAGTGATTTGCCCAAAGTTACACAGAATATGAGACTTAAATTGAGGTTCTGACAACCATGAAAGACAAGCCCCTTGTCTCATCTTCAGAGATGGCAACACATAAACGTATCCCTGTGCTTCTCAAGATTTTTAAAAGTTCAAATAGAATAGTTTCTGATTTCAGAATTATACTTTGAAGTAGAAATATTAATGTTTGATCAACAGAAAGTGTATTAAGTTTATAGTCAGAAGACCTGAGCTCAAATGCCTTTACTGCCTATGTGACCTTGGATAAATCACTTAACCTTCCCTAGCCTCAGTTTCATCCTCTGTAAAATAATCAGCCTGAGCTAGATGATCTCGTGGGTCCCTTCCAGCTCTAAATCCCATTTCTTTTGGGTGGGTATTACTCAGAGGTACCAGAATCCCCTCTCTACTGTTATCCAGAAGGTGCCCAACATATTGTGTTTCCTAGTCCTATAAAGTGACTTTGCAAGTTGTGCTCTTACAATCTTCAAGCAAAGATTGCTATCTTTTAACTACCTCTTAACCAATAAATGAAGTGTACGTAATTATATGCTTCATGACAAGCCTGAATATGATTCTGCAACTTCTAACTCACAGGTTCCCAAACTTGCTGAGTTCACAGAATCCTTAGCATCTCAGTGTTTTTTCATAGCAGCTGTAGGGGTAACTGAGGAGATTCTCCCCAACCCCTGAGGAGATCCTCCCCAGCTCCCTGTGTAACCGCCTCATGAACTGACACAAAGATAAATTGGAGTTACCATGCATGGCCAGAACTAAGGAGCCCAGAACACTAAGTGACAAACAAACTATGTTACCCAGGAAAGCAATTCATCTCAAGGAACATTTTTCTTGAGGAAAGAATGTAACTGTCCAAGGAATTGATCATTCCTTGGAGATTACAAAACAAACAGGTATCTGGAGTTCTGATCAAGCTCCAACCTTTGTTACAATGTGTACATGCCCTGGACCTGAGTACTCACCAAGGAGATGTACACAAAACAAACTATCAAGATTGTTTTTCCCTGGTTTACATAGATTTGGAAGGGGATTTTTGGAGTACTTTGATGTCAGAATAGGAATGCCAAATCTCTGTTGATCAAAGGCAGATCGCGTGCATGGCCTCTGTTGAGTTGGAGCGGGACGCTCTTGGTCATTCTTCAGTCTCCCCAGTCCAGTAAGTATGAGCTTGCCTGGTCAGTATGTATCCTTTCTTTTCTTATTCCCTCTTTTTCTTTATTTTGATTATTACTTATTGTATTGAATGTTATTCTCATCTTTATGTGTGTGTTTTGCCTTAATCGTTATTAATCATTGTAAAATAAATGTGATAATGTGTTAAGTTTGTGCTGAGTATGTATCATTATATCTTGAGATCCAACCTAAATTGAAAGTACTGCACAGTCCGTAATCCTTTCCATTACAGCAGCCTAGAGACAGAAGAAATACCTGAGATCTGTTTATCAAATACTGTAATAAGTATTTGTATGTCCTAACAACTTAGTAGCCATTTGAAAAATCAATACAGAGGCAGCTAGGTGGCGCAGTGGATAAGCTCCAGCCTTGGAGTCAGGAGGACTTGAGTTCAAATCTGTACTCAGACATGTGACAGTTACTAGCTGTTACTAGACCCTGGGCAAGTCATTTAACTCCAACTGTCTCATCAAAAGGCAAAAAAAAAAAATTAATACACATCAATATAAAGGAAAGATTTTTTATTTCACTCTTGAATAGCCACAATTATTAACGGGATATACGTGCCTGTTGAGCACAACACAACTTCTCAAGCTGGTAATCTAACTGGACATTATACCCACCCAACCCCATTTCCTGTTCCAAGGATTTTTGCTCAGTTCTTGCTTTTTAACTCAACAATTGCCAAAAACTCAGCTTCACCAAGACATGATGATGTAAACAAGGACTTACGATCCTGGCCAAAAGCACAAGTGAACAGACTGATCTCAAACATTCCAAAATGTCAGTGAAAGGAATGTCGTGTAATCTAACAATGAATCTGTGAGCTGACAGCTGTTGAATAGCCCTAGATTTCCCTTGAACATTAAAACATCACATAACGTCCTTGAGAATTCTATGTGGATCCCTGGGTGGGGGAGGGGGGGAGGCTCAACATACAGTTTAAGAATCGCATCCCATTCAGGCTTGTGGGACCAATAAGAGAAAATTTAATCTCTTTTCCACATGATACCCCTACAGCTAATTGGAGACACCTATTATGTCCCCTTTGGGCTTCTTTCCTCCAGGTTAAACCGTTCTCATACCTGGCATCTGAATTACCCTTTAAGGCCCACTAAGTGCTTTGGAGAAATTTTCTCATTTAAGCCACACAGCAGCCCAATGAAGAAGTCACTTTGCTGTTATGCCCATTGTACAGATAAGGGAACCTGAGGTGCAAAGACATTAAGTCCATGGTCACCCAGCTGTGATGTGTGGCTGACAGGATGGGAGCCCTGCTCTTCCTGACTCCAGGTCCAGCCCTGTATCCATCTTGCCTCATGGCCTCAACAAGTTCCATGTTAGGGGATGGCATATCTTGTCACTTTTCCTTGTCTTCTTCTGATACAGAATATCCAAATGCTGGCTTTTTCAAATCCAAGAGAAATTAGGAAAGTCGCCTCACACTGCTCCACATTATCTAATAAGCACTATATCTTATGAGGTCAGGGTAGACCTGCCCTCCATGTTTGGCACAGTGAAGGCTGCCTTGGTCAAGCTCTGGGATGTTCCCAGGAGTAAAGATCCACAGGCTATCTACATGGCACTAGAAACCCAGGGAAAACATCTACACACAAGACAGAAAGAATCCCTGGTGACCCTGGGAGGCAGGGAGGATGACTGTCCCCACCCCTGGCCTCATGTCCTGGCTCCCAGAAAGGACTATAAAGTTCTTTACAGCTCAGCTATTTCCATAAGGGTTGGGTTCAACTGCGGCTCTGGGTCTGGGGCCTAGCGGTACCACTTGAGAATGCTCACCTGGAAGGACTGAAGTGGCCAGAGTGTCAGTCTTGTCTAAGCAGCCACTGAGGGACTGGATTCTTGTAAGGAGGTCAGAATTGGGGCCCTTGTTCCCTACTGAGAAATTGGATGACTTCCACCAATAATTTTTTTTGGTCTGGATCTAAGATTTTTTTGATGTAATAATCTGTTAGGGATGAAACTCCCTCTACTAACATAGGCCTACAACTGTTCTGCAACTGATAGTCTTAGAAAGCCTTCATGGCAGAGGGATATTTTCCGATTCAAAGCAATTTCTTGAAAATAAATTATAAACTCAATTCATGTCACTATTTTGAAGTTAAGCTCTAAATGAAAAATGGTGAGCTTCTCCATGTAGGGAATAAGTTCTCAACCTTTTTTTTTTTTAATAAGGGACCTCACAGCACACACACACACACACACACACACACACACACACACACACAGAAAGCACAGATATGGGCTGATTTCCTAGAATCAAATCAGCTTCGGTTTCAATATGACTCAGAGTTGGCAGAAGTTCAGTTAGCTATTAACTGTCCTTCCTTGAACTTTCTCTAGGAAAAAATGGAGGAGGAGGGGCAGTGGGCTGGCATTCTGGTGAGGAGCTAGGTGCTACTATTAAACCTATTTTACAGAGGAGGAAACTCAGGCTGAGAGAAAGTGACTTGAACAGGGTCACAAAGCTGGTAACACTGAAGGGAAATCAGTTCTTCTACACCCCAAGGCCAGGACTCTGACCCATTGTGCTACTCAGGTGCCTTTAGGATTGATAAGTGCACTAGATTAGGGGCAGCAATAGAACAGAGATCTGGGTTTGGACCCAGAGGACCTGAATCAAAGTCTGAGCTCTGCCATTAGCTATCTCTGTGACTTAACAAGAGTCACCTAGCTGCTCTGTTTCTTTATCCTCTGACTGAGAGAGTTGGTCTAGATAACCTCTGAGGTCTCTGAATCATTAATCTGTATAAAATGGAGGAAAACAAAGGGAAAAGAATTTGTTATTCTACAACATGTATTGTGAAAACTAGATGAAAATTTGGTGATGAATGGAGAAAAACTTGTATCCATTCTACATACTACAACCATTTCCAAACAGACCAATGATCTAAATATATTTAAAAATCACACCATAAAAGCATTCATAGTAAAAAGAAGGGCATAGTTTTCACAACTGAGGAAAGGAGAACAATTCTCAACCAGCCAGGTCTTAAAGGAAATTATGAGGTCAGATGACAAAGCCAGAGAGAGGACTATACATTTTCTCTGATCTCCACAACCTCTGAAACTGCTCCACAGCAGAAATTATGCATCAAAGACAGAGTAACTTCCACTTTCTTCATGGTCTAGGACCAAAAAAAGGTAAATCCCAAAAAAGGTAAAAACAAACAAACAAAAATCCAAGAACTGGCATCTACTCTTAGCTC